CTCATCTGCTGATGGGCACTTAGGTTGTTTCCAAATCTTAGCTATTGTAAATTGTGCTGCTATGAACATAGGGGTGCATATATCCTTTCTGATTGGTATTTCTGGTTTCTGGGATATAGTCCTAGAAGTGGGATTACTATATTGGGTCAAATGGGAGTTCCATTTTTAACTTTTTGAGGAAACTCCATACTGTCTTCATTTCTTTTTATGTGTTTTGTCTTTAACACAATGAAAAAAACTTTATAGTTAATAAATATTCCTCCCATGCCTAAATATAATAGCACTACCTACTGATTTATTTCTATACTTGAGGCCTGATGCATGAAATTCATGCAAGAGTAGGCCTTCCTTCCCTCTGGCACCCAGGACCCAGGCTTCCCTCCGGCCACCGGCAGGCACCGAGGACCCGGGCTTCCCTCGTAGCCCCAGCTTTGTCTGGAAGGTCGTCCGGAAGGACGTCCAGTCGGACAGCCAGTCTAATTAGCATATTACGCTTTTATTATTATAGATGTGTGAGCACTTACCTTGCCTAACAGATGTAATGTAAAAGAAATAATCGTATGGATATCAAGTTCAAGATCCCTAAGATGGGCCTATATCATACACCTTTTCAATTTTATTTTACTCTTTGAAGTTAAATTGCTATTGCAGTAGTTGAAGTTAAAGTAGAAACTACTATTGTTGATTGTAAGCAGACTTTTGCTTCTTATGTCAGAATAAAACCCCTTACCAGAGAACTTATTTGCAAAAAAAGCAAACAAAAAAACACCACACACACACACACACACACACACACACACACACACAACCAAACTATAAAATCTGGATTTAATACAAAAAGCAACTATTTAAGGCACTTGAGAGGAAACAGAAGCAGATAGGTGGAGGAAGGGAGCTATAGGAAATAATTTTGCCTTTTCACTTTTAGCTTCAAGCTAAGTACAGTCCATAACTGTGGGGATTCTGGTGGAAAAACAATAGTCTTCTGGCCAGGGAAACTAGAAAACTGAAACCAGTCAACCTTGACCACCGAAGATAGTGGAGGAATCCCAGAAGGAGAAGAGCTAGAGAAGGGAGAGTTCTCAAATTTTGTGTATACACATCTGTGAGTGACTTCTGAATTAAGCATGGATACAAAGACTCAGAACAGCCCATCTAAAGACAAAAAAATAAAATAAAAATCTGTACCTGGCTAAAGCTGCGTCCTAAGAAACAGGAGCCAAACCAAGGTATTTGCCTGCTAAAACAAACGAACAAAAAACCCAGCTCTCATTGGAGAAAAAATAATAATCTAGAGTCTTCACAAATAAACGTTTATAATGTTAAGGGTACAATCCAAAATTACCCTATATATGAAGAATTAAGAAAATGGAACATATCCCAAGAGGAAAGAAAATCAACTGAGTCCTACCCTGAGATGAATGAGGTACTGGCAATAAGAGACAAGAATTTTAAAGCAGCTATTACAATATCTTCAATGAAGTAAAACAACATGCTCTCAATGAATGAAAAAAATAAATCAGATAAATAGAAACAATGAAAAAAAAAGAATCAAATGTAAGTTTTAGAAATGAAAAATACAATATTTGAAATTAAAAATTCACTGCATGGATTTAACAGTTCAGAAGGAAAAGTAACTGAACTTAAAGACAGAACAATATAAATTAATGTGAAGAACAAAGAAAATATATTGGGGGGGGGGGGAATATAGAGTCTCAGGGACCTCTTAGGTAATATCAAACAATCCTTCATATATGTAATTGGAACCTCAGAAGGAGAGAAGAGAGAGAATGGGATAGAAAACGAATTTTGAACATTCCCCAAGTTTGATGAAAACCAGAAATGTACAGATATAATAATACTCAATAAATATAAGACTCAATGAACCCAAAGAAGTTTGCATCAAGTCACATTATGGCAAAATAGTTGAAAGCCAAAGATAAAGAGCAAAGGTTGGAAGCAGTAAGAGAAAAGACGCATTTCAAACAGAGAAGCAAGGACCCATTTAATGAATGATTTCACCTCAGCAACTATGGAGGCCAAAAGTAAATGGAAGAACTAGTTTATGTAAAGTGCTGGAAGGAAAGAAAAAAGCCTGTCAATTCAGAATTCTATATTAAAAGGAAATATCCTTCAAGTATCAAGATGATTCCAGAATTAGATAGTGGTGATGATGGCACAACCTTGTGAATATACTGAAAAAAGAAAAAAAAAAGCTGGCTTATATACCTTGAAAGGATGAATTTAATAGTATGTGAATTATATCTCAATTTTTTTTTTTAAAAAATGAAGGATAAGAAAACTTTTTCACATAAAAGAAAACTCAGACATTTCTACACTGCAAGAAATGTCAAAAGAAGTTCAAGGTTGAGGAAGAGTGATACCAGATGGAATTTTGGATTCTTAGAAGAAAAAGATCACCAGAAAATGATAAATGTCTACAGAAATGCAAAAGTCTCAATCTTTCCTCTTAATTTCTTTATAAATTGTATCATATAAGCAAAACTTGACATTGTCTTGTGCAATGTGTAACATATAAAATATGTTATCATCCCATATAATATACTAGAGACCTGGTGCATGAAATTTGTGCATTAGAGGGTGGGGGGTTCCTCAGCCTGGCCTGCGCCCTCTCACAGTCTGGGATCCCTTGGGGGATGTCTGCCTTCTGGATTAGGCCTGATCCCTCAGAGCCAGCAGTCAGACATCCCTCTAGCAGTCTGGGACCCCTCGCTCCTTACCACCCGCCTGCAGCGGAGGCGGGAGAGGCTCCCGCCAGCCAGCCGTGAGCCCGGCTTCTGGCTGAGCAGCGCTCCCCCTGTGGGAGCACACTGACCACCAGGGGGCAGCTCCTGCGTTGAGCGTCTGCCCCCTGGTGGTCAGTGTGTTTCATAGCAACCGGTTGTTCCACCATTTGGTAGATTTGCATATTAGAATTTTATTATATAGGATAACAACTATTCCATAAAGGATGATTGTGAGGCTTCTATATTTTAAGTAAAATGGTACAGTACTAACTATAAGAGGACTGTGAATAGTTAGAAACATGTTGTAATCCTTAGAGCAACAACTACACTAATCAAAGTGGTAGAGCTAAAATGCCAGTGTGAAAACAAATGAAATTCTAAAAAGCATTCAGATGATTCTTTTTAAAGTCAGGAAAGTAATTACATGGAAACAAACAACAGAAAAGGTAACTTAAAACAAATAATAAGCCTTGGCCGGGTAGCTTAGTTGGTTAGAGTATCATCCCGATACACCAAGGTTGTGGATTCATTCTCTGGTAAAGGCACATAGAAGAATCAACCAATGAACCCATAAATAAGTGGAACAACATATTGATGTTTTTCTCTCTCTCACACACACACTCTCTCTATCTCTTTCTCTTTCCCTCCTTCCCTTCCACCCTCCCTCCATTCCACTTTGTCTAAAAATAAATGGAAAAAATATCCTTGGGTGAGGATTAACAACAAAAAAAGGTTTTATTGTAATGTATAGTATACAGAAAATTACAGAAAACATAGCTGTACACTTTAAAAATCCTATATAGTAAAAGGGTAATATGCAAATCGACCGAACGGCAGAACAACTGGTCGCTATGACGTGCACTGACCACCAGGGGGCAGATGCTCAACACAGGAGCTGCCCACTGGTAGTCACTGCGCTCCCATGGGGGAGGGCCACTCAGCCAGAAGCTGGGCTCATGGCTGGCGAGCGAGTGCAGCAGCGGTGGCGGGAGCCTCTCCTGCCTCTGTGGCAGTGCTAAGGATTTCTGACTGCCGTCAGTCGGACACCCCTCAAGGGTCCCCGGACTGCGAGAGGGCGCAGGCCTGGCTGAGGAACCCCACCCACCCCCCTCCCTCAGTGCATGAATTTTCGTGCACCGGGCCTCTAGTCAATTACAAAGTGAACACAGCTTTAACCACTCAAGTCAAGAAATAAAACATTGCTAGTGTCTTAGAAGCCCCTGTGGGGCCTCCTCCTGTTGCTGATCCCTTTAATTGTTTCTTTTTTTCTCTTTGTTTTTTAGCAAATTTAACAGGACATGCAGAGAAGGTGGGGATTGAAAATTTTGAGCTCCTGAAAGTCCTAGGAACTGGAGGTAAGTCTTGAGTTAATTCTTTTTTGGGGAAAAAAAAAAGTACTTGTTATTCCTATGACAAAGGATTGATATTTCCAGTATAGAAATCAGCTGAAATTTAAAAAGCATAAGGAATTCAACAGAACTGTCAAAGAACCTGAACAAATGATTCATAGAAGAAATACAAGAGGCAGAATTTGAAAGAATTAGCAAGGATTTAGAAAAATCAATCCCTGCTGTTGGGAATGTAAATTAATTCAGTGTTTACATAGGAGACAATATTAAAGAAATCACTAACATTTATAGAGAACTTGTTACTTTCCAAGTACTCCATTAAGTGCTTTATACTGATTGACTCATTCAATCCTCAACTTTATTGTTATTCAGTGATCATCATTTTGAATAATGAAAAGCTCAAGACCCTTTAGAAACCTAACAATATGAGTTTGGTTAAATGGAACATGGATCTATATGTCCTATAATTAGTACAATAAGATTGAAAGATATGTATTTACTAACATTTTAAAAAGCTGCTATAATGTAGTAAGTTACAAAAAAAGGCAACAGAAGAGAATGTACAATATACCATTTCCATAATATTAAAAAATTATGTATATCAATATCTACGTGTGTGTACGTATGTAAAAAAAAAATCTCTGGTATACAGAGTAATAACAGTGGTCATCCCTGGGTGGTGGGATTTTAAATGATACTGATTTTCTGCTTTATACTTTCTGTGTCTTCTGAATTCTTACTACTGCTGTTTTTACTGCTTAAGAGTCAGGGCCTCATAGGTGTCTGAGATCCCTACATTTAGAAGAGCCCCACATTTGGTTTAATGCTTTGCTTTCACTGTTCTAAAATTCTAGATAATTCACGAACAAACCATCCCACTTTTTCATTTTGCACTGTTCCCCCCCGCCACCGCGCCACGTAGCTTGTCAGAACTGCAGTGTCTCTTTAGCCCTCCCCCTGGAATGTGCTGCTCTGCTGGGAGAACTTGCCACTTCATTTTTCCTTCCTTCAGGTGGAAGTGAAAAGCAGGCCTTTACCTCTCTTTTTCCATCCTTAGCAGGCCTGTTGTCTCTTTCCATGGAAGGGGAGAGAGAACCTTAGGGGACAGACCATTTTTCTTCCCCACTAAAGTTTAGCTTCAAGAAGTACCAAAGAAAGTCTTACAAACATGATCTTACTGTGAAGAAGAAGCAAGGCATCCTGAGTGAAAGAAGTGGAAACAATAAGCAGAATTAGACCCACAGGGACTATTGGAATTATTAGATGTGAAATATGATATACATGTTTATATGGTTTTAAAATTTGAGATTTGACAGTAATATTAAGGAACAAGGCATGCTAAAAAAATGACCAGACAGATTTGAAAAAGAACCAATAGAGTTTCCAGAAGTGAAAAAACAATTCAAATTATAAATTTAGTAGGTGTTTTACTAGCAACTGAGATATAGTTCAAGAGAGAAAGAGCAAATTGGGAGATGAATTTGAGGAAAGTATGCAGAACATAGAATGGAGAAAAAAGAGATGGCATCTATAAAAGAGATTAAGATAAGATAGACAATAGCTGAAAATTTATTAAGATTGATTGAACATGAATTTGCAGGTTTAGGAAACAGAGCGAATCACAAGCAGACAAGTATAAATTAATTATTTTTTTAAATTCTCACCCAAGGGTATGTTTTTATTGATTTTAGGGAGAGAGAGGAAGAGAGAGAGAAACATTGATATGAGAAACATCCATTGGCTGCATCCTATATGTGCCCCAACCAGGGATCAAATCCGAAATCTAGGTTTATGCCCTGACTGGGAATTGACCCACAACCTTTTGGTGTATGGGATGATGCTCCAACCAACTGAGCTACTAGCCAGGGCTAAAGAAGTTCTTATATAGATACATCATAGAGAAACTGATGAACACCAGAGACAGATACCCTAAAGGTAGCCAGGGAGAAGACTTATTTATGAAGGAGCAATGATTAGATTAATGACATTTTCAACAGTGACCATGAAACCCATAGGAGAGTGGAAGAATATCTGCAAAATGCCCAGACAAAATAACTGTCAATTTAGAATTATATACCCAGCAAAACTTTTCCAGAAGTGAGAGCAAAATAGACATTTTCAGATATACAAAAGCTGGGTGTGTTTTTTACCAGTAGGTCCTTATTAAAACTTTTTCTAAAAGATATAGCTATAGGGAGAAGAAAAGTGATCTCAGGGGAGTTTCTGAGATGCAGAAAGGATCATGAGCAAAGAAAATCTAAATAATATTGTCTGTGTGAAAGCATGGTCGTAATGTCGAAATTGTGGTGGTAAAAGTAGCAAACTGAAATATTAGACAAAAGTAGCATATAATTTTGTATATGATAGGAGTGATGTTCTGAGATAGTGTTCCTCAAGCTTTATCATGCACATGAAACTTGAATGTGTAAATTACCACACTGATTGAAAAAGAATAAAATACCTGAACAGTCCTATAACTCTTAAAGAAATTGGTCAGTAAGCAAGTCTTCCTAATAGGAAAACACTTGATACAGTTTTAAGAGTGAGTTCTGGCAAACATTAGAGACATAGATCATTTTAATCTTCTACAAACTCAGAGAACAGAAAAAGTTGGATTATCTCCTCCAATTTATTGTATGAGGCCAGTAGTATAACCTTGATTCCAAAAAACAGATAAAGAGAGTGTGAGGAAGGAATATTATAGGCCAGTTTAATATAAAATTTGTAAAATCAAACCTTGTGTGTATTTTCTTTCCACACATTGGGGCTCTGTCTCATTATCTGCCTCAACTTTTTGAGTGGTTTGATCACAGGTCTTAAAGGTAATTCTTCAAAGGTGAGGAAAGAGTTTACCAATAACATTTTACTTTTGTATTTCCATTTTATGCTTCTCTGCTGTTCTATATATAATTGGTGTACTGTTAGCCATGGATACTGCTCTTCCTCTTTGTCAGCTGCAGTATACTTGCTTAAAGACGATGGGATAATTATGAAATGTCACTGTAGGTATTCCTATATTTAAAATCACAGTTTTGATGACTAAATGGAGTAGGTGGAAACTTTTATTATGAATATAATAAAATATTAATTTTTATTCAAAATTTCACCACTAATCTTCAGTTTCATTACCTTTTTAAGATAATTTTTTACAGCACTGTTAGAATAATAGAAGTCTTTGTGTCATGTCAGGTTTTCTATGGAAGTGAAACTGAAAACACTTCTGATAAATTGATTTTTATAAATTTTACACTAGAAAAATGCTATTCATCCAATATCTTGAAGACTTTGTGGAATATTGGAATAGAAAAGGTTTACTTTTTGATGTGATACTTACATGCATGTAATATTCGTGAAAAAAATTGTCTTTTACTCAGAGTATTGATTTATTTATCTTGTTTCTTTTCGTCTATCACTAATTGGTTGATCTGTTTCCTAAGCAAGAGACTTGGAAATAATTTTTGATTCTTCTCTATTTTGACCTTTTTTATTTTGTTTTCCACAGAATCCTATCTTTTTTCCATCAAAATGATCCTTAAAATAACCTTTTCTTTTCTGTCCCTAGTGCCATCACTCATATTACCTTATATATGCATTGTTTTTATTGTTCTCTTAACTGGTCTGCCTTCCTGCAAGTTTTCTCTTCCATTTTATATACTTTATACATATCCTGTTATAAAAATATGCAGCCACATTAAAACTCAACATTATTGCTCTATTCTCCAGTTTTCAGAACTTACAGTGCCATTTTTTTTTCCAGTTAATTTTTCAAGTCCAAATCTTTTTGTTGTTGTTAATCCTCACCTGAGGATATTTTTTCCATTGATTTTTAGGGAGAGTGGAAGAGAGAAGGAAAGACAGAGAGAAACATCGATGTAAGAGAAACACATTGATTGGTTGCCTCCTGCATGAGCCCCAACCAGGGTCCAGGCCGGAGAGGAGTCTGCAACCAAGGTACGTGCCCTTGACCCGAATTGAACCCAGGAGGGGACTCTCTATCCACTGAGCGAAACTGGATAGGGCAAGTCCAAAATCTTATTATAGATTTTTATATTTTTAGAGAGGAAGGAAGAGAGAGAGAAATATAGATGTGAGAGTGAAAAATCGATGGGCTGCCTCCTGCACCCCCACCTTCCAGGGATTGACCCCACAACTCCTGGCATGTGCCTTGACTGGGAATAGAACTGGCAACCTTTTGATGCACTGGATGACGCCCAACCAATGGAGCCACACCGGCCAGGGCTCAAGGCCAAATTCTTGCCTTGCTTTCAGGTTTAGCTCTGTTTTCTCCTGTCTTTTCTCCAGTTACCATCATATTCTGCTTACTTTCTAGTTCAGTTAATTTTCCTCACTCCCCTACAGTTATGTGTACTTTCCCATCTTCTGATGCCCAGCCTTGTCTTGTTCTCTCATTTTCATGCTCCTCCTCTTTTCTGCCTGTCCAGATCCTGCCCAGATTGCTTCATTCTCTGAATTGTGCCACTGAAGCTCTTTTGTAGAAAATGCAGCACTGCCCTGGTCATTGTGGCTCAGCTGGTTGGGCTTGGTCCTGTGCACTGAAAAGTTGCCAGTTTTATTCCTGGTCAGGGCACATGCCCGGGTTTTAGGGCTTGATCCCCAGTAGGGGCATGCAGGAGGCAGAGCAGGTATCTGCAATTGCTCTTACATTGATGTTCGTTTCTCTTCTCTTCCTTCTTCTCTCTAAAAGTCAATTAAAAAAAATTTTTTTAAGAGAAACGCAGCACTGAGTGGTTCTCTGAATTTTCCTTCACATCTGCTATTTTTCTTCCAGATGGTAAGCGCTTAAGATCACCCCTGTATATTTTTCCAACCCTATTGCCCTGCCCCATTCCCATATCCGTAACAGTATGAAGTATAAGTATATAATATATGCTCTTGTCTCTAGCGTTATTCTTGCGGTTGATACTCCCACATCCAGGAAATGTCTTTGGTTCATATTTTAGAATTATTTTGTTTCATGATGAAATTTTGGATTTGTGGGAACAACG